AAACCAGCTAGGACTTCCATCAATCTTTATACTTAATTTTTAAATGAAAATATACAATGTTGATAAGATAATAATAAAGTTATAAACTCATAAATCCCATGTAATAGTATAAATTATCACAATTTTTTGAATATCAACTTGGCAATAAGAATCAAAGGCTATAAGAATTGTCATAGCTATTTGCCCAGTAATACTCCTGGGTATTTAACCTTAAGGAATCAATTCCAAAGAAAAGCTGTCTGTATAAGAATACTCAGTGCAAGGGTCATTTGTAGTAGTCATTTCTTTTTGTAAGTGTGGCTGTACTAACTGTCCCAAAACAGAATGATTAAGTAATTAAGACACAGCAATCCTGCAAAGTCCATGAAGTCAGTAGTAATCATAATTATGAAGTTTATGTGGTGACATGAAAAATGAAGATATATTATAATTAGTAATCTCTATTGAATATCTCTAGATTGCCATTACTACTAAATAAAAATGCATACCTATGACAAAGACCAAGGGGAAATGATATGAACAGGAGCTGTAGAATGATGGATAGCATTTGTTTCTTTTTAAAATTCTCTTCACTAGTCTGTGGTTTGTCTATTAAACAACGGGATGAGTTGTGGAAGCAGAAACAATAAAATGAAAGGATGGAGGCTGGTCATCAGAGCCTTTTAAACTATTAATTGGACGTTTCTTTTCCTTTCATCTTCCTATCTTTGTAAAACATCCCTTGTAAGTCTCTCTTTAAAGCACCCTCTTAGGACCAAGCCAGAACCACTAAGCAGAGATGGAGAAACTGAGAAGGCAGGGCGGGGTGAGGATGAGCTCCCGACTCCGCCCCGCAGGGCGGAGTTATCCCTAGCCCTCGGGGCCAGGTGTCGTGTGAACCAGAAGGTACTAATTATGCCGTATTTTCCAGCGTATAAGACGACCCTCTAGTTTTACTATTAAAACATGGATTTAGGCCTATATTCGCTGTATAAGACTACCCCCCACTTCAAAGAAAAGACTTACTTTGCCGTCAAGATCTGCAGGTAATTTTTGTGCAATTTTGGTCTTTTGCCCCCAATTTTCGGTTGACTTTTTTTCGTTTCAAAAGTCGTCTTATACACCAGGCTCAGTGACTGGGGTGGGAGTGAGGGAACGGGCCACACCAAACCCAGGACCATCTTCTGAGCCCAAGGCCAGTCCCAGCAGTAGACCACTAAGCCCTTCTCTCTCCCACATCCCCCACACCCTTCACCTCTCACCACCCCACCCCCACCCCCAGCCCTCTCTCATCCCCAGTGCATCACTGTGACCTCAACCGCCCACGGCTTTCCCCCAGCTGCCCAGGCCTGGCAGGCCCTTCGCGGATCCAAAAGAACCAAATGTAAAGAAAAGGCGGTTGCACACTGAGCTGCCTGCTGCCAAAAGTTGAGAGTTCCCAGCGCACACCAGTCTATAATTACCAGGAAGCAGCGCCAAAACCAACAAAGGAGCTTCAAGGAAACTGCGCTGAAATGCTCCCCGGTTCTTAACTACATATGCATTCGCTGCTACTCCCCCACCCACCCCATTCTCCCTTTTGTAGTCGGACGCTCTTCCGAAACCACCAGACTGTAGAAAGGCGCTAATAGCTGCCCCTCAGGGGGCAGGAAGGAGGGGCGCAGCAGCTTGAGCGAGGCCAGCCAGTCACTGCAGAAGCAGAAAAGCAGTTCTTAGAAGCTGAAGGAAATGAAAGAATTCCAGCCAGGTTACTTAATGGTTTTCAGGTCGTGTGTGTGTGTGTGTGTGTGTGTGTGTGTGTATGTGTGTGTGTGTTAGGAGGGGATGACAACACAAATGAAGTTAAAAAACAGCTACCAAAGCCCCATAAGATAATCTGCAAAAGCTGATGGATTTAAGGCGCAGTAGAAAGTACTAGTTGTATATGGCTTACATTGAGCCCTGTAATTCTCTATCCAGAAAACTTCCCTGCTCGAAAAGCATTCCTAAGAATGCCATAGTATCATTCTTCGTGGCTACTCAACCACTTAGGAAGGATAAAGGCTCGGACAGTTCACCATCCCTTTGGAACTGCCGTGACCGTCGGGCCGCAGAAGGGTGACTCCAGTGTGGAGGCAGCAAGGAAGCCAGGCACGTCCGCCCGACAGGCTCTGCCTGTGTGGACTCACCTTCATCAGAGGCAACGTTATCTCTTCCGTCACAAGGCTTATCCCAGGAATTTCCTACAGTGGGGGCAAAGCAGACACACATGTCAACGGCCACGAGCTCAAGCCCTCGGGAAAGGTCTCCTGCATGGACAGAAGCCCAGGGCAGCTCCCAGTGTGCTAACCTCTACTTTAAATAAACCTCGGAGTTTATAAATAACCGTGAACACGTCTATCTCTTGCCTCAGGAAGAAAAAGACGCCTTAAAGTTATGATGATGATAATATTATAGTTGGCAGTGTCTCTAAAGGAAAGAAGAAGACAAATGAAGAAACAGAGCAAACAGTATATTGTTTGTGTGGTTCCACCTGCACTACCAGGGTGATAACAAGGAGGCATGTGCCAGGTTTTATCATCCTTCCTCCCTCTCCCCTCTTTCATTTAAATGCACTGCAGGTGGTTCCAACTCACTAGAAGGAACCAAAATCAATTGGGTCCTCCTATGACTGTGGTAGACAAATTTTCTGCGCCTCACCCTCCACCATAATCTCAGAGCTAAGAGGCCCCCATGAAGTTGGCACAACTCTCTCACCATGGCAGGTGTGAAGGGTGTGCACTTCATCTCAGGAAGTCCAATGACAGCCTCCTGCTGACAAGTGACACTGACATAAGAGGATAAACTTCCCAAATTGCCCTCTATTCACTGAGGCTTTTTTTTCAAAATGTGTTTCTGTATGAATTGTGTATTATCAGCCTCTCAAAGAGTCAACTCAGCTTTCCTTTCAAAAAAAAAAAAGTACGTAAAACATGAGAATATAATTGAGAAGGTGCTAAGTAGAAATAAAACCTGAGAGTTGGATAGGACTTAAATGTCCTGGGTTTTACTGGGTTTAGCAGGGGATTGCAGTGACAGAATTACATTTCTAGAAAGACAGGCAGCTGAGGTCTCCACTGCGAGAATAAAAAGCCTGAGAAAAGAATCCTCTGTGTGCTTCACAACATAGGACACTGCAGAAAAAAAGCATTGAAGTGTCGCTACAGCTTTAGGTTATCAATAACACCTTAACATAGGTAGAACAAGGCTAATTGTTTGCATGGGATAATTTAAAGCACCCTATTATTTAGTATCTTTTTTTAAAAATCCAATTCTGTTACTTCACTAAAATAATCTGCCTCCATACAGAAGTGTGAAATTAATGTTTTCTATTGTGCCAAGTGCAGCAATGAGAGCATTTGCAGGTTAGAGAAAGAAAAAAAAAATGATCTGCATCATGGCTAAGGAGAAGCATAGATTTTTAAAATTGCAGATAGAAGAGACCTTCAAGGCAACCTACTCTAACCACAAGAACCTTAAAGCAACATGGTAAACCCTAAAATAAGCTTGTACACAGGGGGCTGTAATTTGGGGGGCTGGGGGGGTTACATTGTACATCTTGTAGGATGTCCCTCGATATGGCCACAGCAGCTCCTCGGCAGCACAAAGCCATGGGAGATGCCAAGGTGAAGACTCGCCTGCCAGGCTGATGTGCTCCATCTTAAAACACAAGCCTGAGAACTACAGGTCCTGTCCCTGCCTGCCTCCAACTCTGAACCTGACAGGCAGGACAACCAGAGAGAGCAAAGGGTGCTGAGCGGAAGAAGCTGGGTTGTGCATTTCCTGAACGGGTGGTTTACACACTTCCTGCCACATTACCGCAGTGTCTGCACGTATATTCACAAGGGCTCTTGACGAAAACAGGGAGGACCTGTTACAAGCTCAGGTCTTCCCCTCACAATTCTGCAGTGTGGCATGGACATCTAATAATTCTAACAGTGAAAGACACGCCTAATGTGCCTTTCTTCGGGACTATATTTATTTTTTTTTAATATATTTTATTGATTTTCCACAGAGAGAAAGGGAGAAGGATAGAGAGCTAGAAACATCGATGAGAAAGAAACATTGACCAGCTGCCTCCTGCACACCCCCCACTGGGGATGTGCCGACAATCAATGCACATGCCCTTGACCGGAATAGAACCTGGGACCTTTCAGCCCGCAGACTGACATTCTATCCACTGAGCCAAACCGGTTTTGGCCAGGACTATATTTAAATGGTCTCAGTACAAAATGGAAAGGGTCTCAGGTTATCCTGGTGCATCTTTTCCTAGGTCTAGTTTCAGAATTGAATTTATTTTCCTAAATGCCTTTCTGATCCGAATTCTCTGCCTCAAGAGTAAGCATGCAGCCTGGCATCTGAATAGGAAAGGAGAGAAGACAGAACCAGGACTTTTTTCAGGGGAAGCCTGTGCGTGCTCTGCACTTGCCCATCCAGCAAAGTGCAGCTCATTGCACCCTGTTCAAGAGAGTTTAGCTCAGCGCCTCCTAATTAAAAAGGACGCCGACTGCACTGACAGGAAGAGAAGGGCCAAGGAGTGAGTTTGCTTAAGGTTACCAACTTACTGATTGTCAAGCTCTAGAGTAACCACACATTTTCCTTGCAAGGTCAGGACGGTGCTAATCTACTAAGTAAAGAGAACCACTCAGATTAACAGCAGTGGCCCGGTGTTCCTTGTTTATGAAACCCCAAGAAATGTTTTAATCTACTCTAGGGCTAATAAAATTGAAATACTTTTTGAAGATGATAAGGGTTTAGGTCTGTTTGGTAGTGGGAAGAATAACAAACACCCTATGCCTTCTCCTCAGTTCTCCTGTTTTATAAATACCCCTGGCCAACAGCAAGTATTATTTTTCTGCCAGGAAATGCCAATTCAGTTTCTTATCAGTCAAAATCAAAATAAAATCACAGCCTTAGTCACTGTGACAGGAATGCCCTAAACTGACCCACAACTGTGAGTTAATTTCAATTACATAAGGAACACAACAACTGTAAAAACTTACTGTATTCCAAGCGAGCACTGAGGAATATGGCAAAAGTTTATCCATGTTACTGGTCTCTGGGTATATGCTCCAATATGAAGAAGCTGAGCAGGTTTTTGAAAGGAAAAAAATAGACATGGTTTAATAATCAGGCAGCAGATACTGTAATTTTCCAAAATAAGCAAACCAACAAAAGTTTTCATCCTCTACACATTAATCATTATACTTTTGTCTACTGATTAGAATGTTCAGATTCTGCTTTTGACAATGACAATAAATTTGTTAACAATTATTTGACATCCTGGCTGGTGTGGCTTTGGTGGTTGGAGCATAGGCCTGTGTACCAAAGGGTTGCGCGCGCGCTCTCTCGCTCTCTCTCTCTCTTTCTCCCCTCGCCCCCTTCCTCTCTAAATCAATTTTTTTTTAATAAATAAATAAATAAAAGTAGGAATTGCTTTTAAAAATTAGGCACTTATATTATCCAAATGGCATTATACCACTTTATATCAAACCGGCCAACACAAAATGAATGCTACATTTTATTGGGAAAAAATTACTGATGTGGTTATAGAATCAAAGTCATATCTTATATCTCATCAGTCTCCAAACAGCCCCAGCTTCTTACAAGACCACAAAAGAATGAAATTTAATTAGCTTCTGACTACAATAGAGAGGATGGGAAAGCTACGAACCAGCATTTTGACTGGTTGAGACATTATCAGTGTAGTCTTTTCCCTCAGGCAAAAGGGTCAAGGATTCAACTTAAAATGTGAGCAACACCTACCAATTATAAATTCCTGAATGGGGTCAAAGGAGTAGTAGGCAGAGATGTTCTCAGAAATCCACTGAATAATCTTTAAAAAGTAAGAAGACAATTCTGTTAATATTTAAATCTGCACCCTGCCCCCACCATCAAAGAAGTATAAAATGTATATGAATCTTCAATCTGTTTTGGAATTGCCTAAGAACATACTTATTTCTATCGTAGACTAGACTAGACAGATAATGGAAGCCTGTGTGGGTAAAACAATATTATAAACGAGATCCTCTTTGCATGCCTTTTAAATAAGGGCCCTTGGCTGGAATCCAAATAAACCTTCCTGCACTACAGGAGGTCATATTCTATTATAGCAAGGAACCAGTGGGAAGAGCTGTCGGGACAAAGTAGTAAACAAACCTACTGAGCTAAAGGCAGCAGAGCTGGGTCTGATTTCCAGCTCAGTAATCAGTACAAACATTGCCAGCACTGTGCCCTCCTCTGAGGGGAGGGATGAAGGATATCCTGTGGTCATCAGCTCTCCATAGTCTCTAAAACCATCCTTATCTGCTAGACTAGAGGAATCAAGCCCTCACTCTCTACGTTAGAATTTACTCTCATGGTTCCATTCCTACCAATAATTTGCTTTTTCCCAAACTTATTCCTGTTAATTGTATTTATTTTCACAACTAAGTAATTAAACAATTACCATAGACAATCGAACCATGGGTGCAAAGAGTGTTGTTGGGTCAACAAAAGTTGGACGCTTTGGAAAGACTCTAAAACACTTACTAAAAAACTAAGTATAGATGAGATGATTATAAAAGACTGAGGGGGGGAATGCCCTATATAAACACATTGCTTTGAAATTATTGCTCTCCTTAGGAAAAGGAAAAAAAAAAAAAGGAACTAACAAGAATAAGAGACAACACATTACTAGTGTGAATAATGTAAGAAAAATGATTTTGAACTTTAATTAGCTGACAGTCAAATAAAGGGCTTTCATTTACATCAGAAGATAGGTGAATAAATGTACATTTATATGTTTTAGGTTAAAATAAAATATTTAAGATATCTGTTTTTCAATGAACTAACTACCCATTGGTCCCAATTAAGTCTCCGACTTCACAGGAACAGTAAAATTAAATGTCAGAATATGCAAAGGTGCTTTGTAAACTATTATGTGAAATTGAAATGTAATTTTCAATCAAAATGTGCCACCAGAGTTTAGTCCATTTGGCAATATACTCCAAATATAGAACAGGTGAAAAAGTAGATATTTGAGAAACTCATTATTTACTAAGCACTTCCTTAGAATGTTACTGATATAGCTAAACACTTATTCACAATATAAAAAAGGAGCACAAGCCGAAACCGGTTTGGCTCAGTGGATAGAGCATCAGCCTGTGGACTGAAGGGTCCCAGGTTTAATTCCGGTCAAGGGCATGTACCTTGATTGTGGGCACATCCCCAGTAGTGGTGGTGCAAGAGGCAGCTGATTGATGTTTCTCTTTCATCGAGTTTCTAACTCTCTATCCCTCTCTCTTCCTCTCTGTAGAAAATCAATAAAATATATATTTTTTAAAATTTTATATAAAAAGGAGCACAAAAGAAAAATATATTCAAGTCAGAATGGAGACATAAACCTTGATCAATTGCTAACAAATAAAAATAGCTTCTGTTCATATTCAACCACTAAATAAATACATCTAATGTTGTCTATTGCCAATTTTCAAAATAAGCTATATAACCACCTGGGCTTCCAGGAACTCGGAATCTTGGCCACATGAGAGCACACAGTGCAGCAGGGCCATCTTCTCACAGTCCAGCCGCGTGTCCCACAGGCGCCCTAATAAATAGGACTGGTTGAGGGACACTCTGTAAAGCTTTCCGGAACACCAATCCAGCACCAGGGACCCCGACAGCAACTGCAGAGGCCCAGGAGGTAGCATATCCATCACTTCATTGTTTCCTGGTCAGAAACAAAAAGATCAGCAAATATAATAAAAGGAACTCTTCTTACCCAAACATAAACATTAAAGTCAACAAATTCAAATGGACCATGTTCTTGAGGGGAAATCATCAGCCGTACCTGTCAAAAACAGACTGTGGCAGATCAGGTCTGGATGCTGAATGTTAAGCAGATGAAAGAAATGGCCAGGTAAGTAAACAGCCACGTAATAGTCTGTGGAAGAGAAAGACTGAAGTCATCTACAGGTGGTAAGAGCTGTACAGGTACAGATAAAGCCCAGGACGTCACAGTATTCCTATTTTTTTTAAATCTCTAAAACAGAAGCTTTGGTCAATGCGGTAATAAGCTGTCTGCTTGTCAGTACATCTTATCTTACAGCCAGTTCTCATTTATTTCTACCTGCGGCTAATTTTCCTCAGACCTTTCGCTATGGTTACCTTAATTTAATCTATAGTTTTGTTTCTAAGTGAATTATGGCTTTGCACAGTATAATTCTAAATGATCTTTGCAAACAAATTAGAATAGAAAATACTTTTTAAAATAAAAGAAAAAATATTAAGCAAGATGAATTATTCCTTAATCTGAGAAGTTGGGAATAGCTTATAATGAGAATTCCCTTCAAAGTTTCTGCCAGTTTGGGGAAGCTCTAAGATTTCGTTTCCCATGTTTACCCACTCATTATTATCATCATAGTCATGCTTACCACTGCCATCATTGTCATCATTTTGTTTAGAGAATCTTTAAGTTGATATTCATCAAAACAATCTCTGCAGGCATTCTGACGCATTTTGAAGTACTAATTTATTTGTTTGCATAGCTCACTGCCTCTATAGAATGCACACCTTCATGGTCCCTGCACTAGATATTTTCATACCAAGAACATTTGTATGCAGATTGAGTCAAAGGGTAAAAGTACATTTCTGGAGAATGGGAAGGTAGAAATACCAATATTTTCTCTAGTATCTTATCTTAGGAAAACAGAAATGCACATGATTGTAGTGAATTTTATACAGATGAAACATTTAAATTATAAGTGAGCCAACTGGAATCTTATTTTCCAAAAAGCAAATAAATATGTGCTAATCATTTGCATAGAAGGCATTCTATGCAAAGGAAAGGAAAGAGGATGTAAAATGCTAACCAGTCATATGGGTCAAGCGATGCTAAATTGCTTAGCACAAATGGTTGCAATAATATAATTATGGCAAACCTTAAGTAGAAAAACATAAATAATAATATAGTAGGGTACAGTGGTAAGGGTTTAGGCATCAAATGACCTCCTGTGGTCAGCAAACTGTGGCTCGAGAGCCATATGCGACTCTTTGGCCCCTTGAGTGTGGCTCTTCCACAAAATACCACGGACTGGGCAAGTCTATTTTGAAGAAGTGGTGTTAGAAGAAGTTTAAGTTTAAAACATTTGGCTCTCAAAAGAAATTTCAATTGTTGTACTGCTGATATTTGGTTCTGTTGACTGATGAGTTTGCCGACCACTGCCTTAGGCTAACCAGTCCATTGGGATGGCACTATGTCCCTAGGAGAGGGGGCATTTGGAAATACTGTCTATGAAGGTGTTTAGGATTGTCACAATCAGTGGGGTGCTGGGGAATTCCTACTGCCATTTGGTGAGTGGGCTCCAAGAATGTTAAGTCCCTCAGTGTGCAGGACACTCTCACGCAAAGAAGTACGGTCTCACCAAAAATAACAATAGTATCTGTGGTAAGCTGGCCTCCAAAGGTTCATGTGCTAACCACCAGAGCCTACAAATATGTTACTTTAAGAGATAAAAGGGACCCTGTAGATGTGATTAGAGATCTTGAGATGGAGACAGTATCCTGGATTACCCAGTGGACCCAATGTAATCATAAATGTTTCCATAAGAGAAAGATTTGACTACAGGAGATCATGTGATGAAATGATGTAGTCACAAGCCAAGAAACTCTAGCCTCTAGATGCTGTAGGGGGCAAAGAACCCTTTCTTCCCTGGCATCTCCAGAAAGAGCCATTTTTGTCCATATGTTGATTTTAGCTCCTCAAGACTCATTTCAGAATCCTGACCTTCAGAGCCATAAGAGAATGTTTTGTTTGGTTTAAGCCCTAAATTTATGGTGACTGTTTTCAAAAGAAATAAAAAAACTATAATAGTGCCCCTGATAAGAGATACAAAAAGAAGCCTGGGCAGTCCAGCTGGTGTAGCTCAGTTGGTTGAGCACTGTCCCATGCACCAGGAGGTCACTGGTTCCATTCCCAGTCGGGACGCATAAACCAAGTGACAGGCTCAGTCCCTGGTACGAAGCCTGCAGGAGGCAACTAATCAATGTTTCTATCTCTCTCTCCATCTCTCGGAAATCATTAAAAACATTAAAAAAAAAAAAAAAAAAAGAAGAAGAAGAAGAAGAAGAAGCTTGGATATAAATCTCAGTCTTCTGAGCCTCAATTTGATTACCATCACCAAGCAAAATTGTTGTAATAGTCAAGATAACTTAAGTAAAACAGCATATAATATTAATTTTTAAATGGACATTTTTTTATTTATAAACATATTTATTATATAGTGGTACTTAGGAGTTTATTGAAAATTTTCCCAAACTCTATTTTTTAAAATTTCAATCAATATAAGCCCTTTTAACGAAGTGTCAATGTAGGGAAATGCAGGCAATTGATAGCAAAAAGTACATCACTCAAAAAAGCAATATTGCTGTCATAAAAATTATCTCTAGAACAGTTTTAATCAGGTACAATTTTGAGCCTATAAGATGTGTTTAAAAAGGAAAGATAATTTATGTAAGATAGCCTATTTTCACTAAGCTCTAGTATTTCTGCCTTCTCCACATTCTGAAGACCTCAGATAAAATCATGCCTGCCCTTTTCAAGAGTCAGTCCCAGGGTAAAAAAAAAAAAAAAAAAAAAAAGGTGGGGGGGAGGGCCTGGGGGGTGGAGGGAAAGGATACCTTTGACCTCACAAAATGCTAAGTTGGGGTTTGTTTTGATTTTTTTTTTTAAGTGGAAAATTTTCTGAATCACTCTTTAGATGAGATGCTGATAAGAATCAAGTCCTAGTCCCAAGAAATCTTATATTTATCTCTCTTACCACAGGAAATAGTAGCAGCAGGCCTAAGATCATTTCCCACAGGTTCAGAGCTCATAAAATCTGCCACATACTGGCCAACATAACATAAGATATCTTACCTCCCCAATAGTATCATTCAAAATAAAAATCATTTTATAAACACTCTTATCATTTTGGTTCTCACTTTGCCCAGTTCCCTCACATCACATCTTCTTAAACCTTTGTCATGACAGTAGCTTTTCCATTTTACTTATTTTTTAAATTTTCGCCCAAAGATATTTTTCCACTGATTTTTAAAGAGAGTGGAAGGGAGGGTGAGAAACAAAGAGAGAGAAACGGATATGTGAGACACATCAATTGGTTGCCTTCTGCACTCACCCGGTTAGATCAAGCATGCAGCTGAGGTACAAGGTGCCTTTGACCTGAATCAAACCTGGGACCCGTCAGTCCAGGGGCTGACTCTACCTACTGAGCCAAAAGGTAGAGAAGCTCTTCCTTTTTAAATATCATGCCATGTTCCATAGACAGGCAAGGAACAGTTCTGTGCTAACCTGTTTGGGCCCCATATCCCAATTAGCATGGAAAAGCCAGTTTCCCAGTAGAAACAATAACTCCCTTCTTTATTTTCTTCTTCATAGATCCCCTTAATAGAAGTTCCATTTACCATATTTACTCAATGAAAAACAACTCACTTAAGCTGATCCATTAATCATTTGTGGGACTTGGAAGCTTTTAGCAATTAGCAACAGGGAATGGACAATTTCCCAAATGCCTTTGTCCTCTCTAGAATCAAGGGCTAACATGATGCATTATTGCTCATAGGCTTTTAGGGTACAGCTCACTCACTGTCAACATTTTTACACTAACAAAATAAATGGCTTTCGTGATGCTACTGCAAACATGAGCAAGCTCACAGTGTGGGTTCCCTAAAAAAGAGAAATGCATCCTCACCTCAAACCCTGTAAAGGCTGATGGAGTTGGGGGTGGGTGCTTCCCTAGAAAACCTTCTTCTATCAGATTTCAAAAAGGACAGTGATGGTCATTGCAAGCCAAGCCCCAAAGAGGCATGAGAAGATGGGATGGACAGAGAAGAAAATGAGATGTAGAGGTTGGAGTTGTACTAGAAGGATGGATCAGAGCAGAGAGGTGCCCCCCTCTCTCTCACTCACCAAGATTAAGGAAAGTAATGCCCTTTGTCACCTGTGAGTGAGCACTCCCAAGAGCAGTGGTGAAGGTCTTGCTGTACCCTGTGGGGAGAGAACAGGATAAGAAACAAAGAGCTGGAATGCCACCTAAGGCAGTGACTCTTAGTAATGCTCTCCACACTAGTGCCTGTGACACTGATAAAGCAAGCAGCTTTGACTTCTGGACTTCATGGTTCCCATCCTTCTCCCAAAGGCAACATTAAGGGTAGATGACCTGAGTGCAGTCACATTCCAGTAGTTGTTCTAGGCTTATTACAGCCTCAGACCTTAACTGGCAGGTTTTGCTGGGAGGGAATGATCCAAAGGAATCTACTTAAGGATCCAAGAGATGGGAGGAGACCAGCTAGCTCACTGGCCCTGGTGCCTCAAGGTTCACTCCACATTCCTGACGTCATTAAAACCCTCCGAAACTTCTCTAAGTCATTTCGAAGTATCACTTCAAGGTAGACTGGGTTAGGGTCTAACCATTACGCTATCTACTAAACTTTGTGTTTTAGGCTTCACTCTCCACTTTTCTAACTCTTCTTAATCTCAGAAAAGTTTTATTTACTGGTTTGTTTATTTTGTTTTGTTTTGTTTTAATATATTTTTATTGATTTCAGAGAGGCAGGGAGAGAAAGATAGAAACATCAATGATGAGAAGAAATCATTGATCAGCTGCCTCCTGTATGCCCTGTACTAGGGCTCAAGCCCACAACAAAGGCATGTGCCCTTGACCAGAATCAAACTTGGGACCTTTCAGTCCGCGGGCTGACATCTATCCATTGAGTCAAACTGGCTGGGGCATATTTACTGGTTTTAATCATTCATCATTAGAAAAATGTGTGAAAACTTTCCACAACATACCAACCTTACACTAGTAAAGTATGTATACATGTCTAGTTCTGAAGGTACTTTTATTTTCTTTATTATCAAGTAAATTATTAAACTTTTTTGCCTTGATCTCTAACTTCTGAAAGAAATATTAGACCCACTTGCAGAATAATAAACTGGTGTGGCCTGGCATAATATTTTTTCAATTTGGGGGGGTGGGGAAGGATCCATCTTTAAAATTTTTAACTTCACCTACAGTATGTACTACATAAAAACCAATGTTTAAGGAACTAAATAACAAAATAAATGCTCCTTAGCATGGTTCAGACTAAAAATGTTAAAGGACACACTGTGAGCAATGACAGAACTGGAAAAGGTTGCACATTTTACTCCTGCTCCCTCGGCTGGCTGCTGACATATCAATTTTTGGGATAACAGATATGTGAAATGAAATATCTTAGGTTTTAAACCTGTTAAGGTCTGAGATCATGGAAGCTTTTAACTAAAATCTTAGGTATGTTTGTAAGTTAAATCTACCAACATTTTCCAACTAGTAATAACAGAAAAGCAAACAAACACACTTTGGGAAAATATGCCCATTAGGATTGACCTATAAACCTAGAAAAAAGATATAGGGCAGGATGAAAAGTATGTGATATATAAAAATATTTAGCTAACTTACTATTCATCAGTGAATTTCTTCAGGAAACGTATTATATAGGTATATTGGTATAGAATGTATTCAATAATACTAAAATCTATCAAATTTGCTACTATTTGGAAAAAGTAATTATGTGAAAGTAAAATACAAAGTAAATGAAAAGTACCTTTATGAAGGTAAAACACTGAATATGTAATTTGTTCCCAAGAGTCAAACTTCGGGCTGTAGCACACACATAAACTTCCTAGAAATTAGAAAGTATTTAGTAGAATCGTAAACAAAGATTCCTAAACCACTTAACCTTACTTATATTCCTTTTGATGTCTTGTCTCAATTTATCTCCTAGATGATTCCCAAACTCTAGAAATGATCTATAACAAGTTGCTAAGAAATTTCAATTCAACCATTACTCAGCACACACTATAAGCAGTGTAGGAATAGACACACTCCTGTGTATAAAATTATGGGAGACTAGAGAAATTTTCAAAGTTTCATGAGATTCTCCTAATACATATGTACAGCCCTGCCCTCTAATCCAAGTTGCCTTCCAGTCATTGCTTACAGCTAAAGACCCTACTATAAAAACTGCATCTCTTCCTCACAGCAAGTTTCCAGTCTTCTTAGTTACCAAGAATAAGAGGTGAACTCGGCAATCTTATGGAGCAATAAGAGTAAATGTAATATGAGAGCCCCCCACCCCCACCCACCCATATTTGTGTCACTGAAGGCCTTGGCCTAGGGGTGGAGAGCCCTGTACACCTACATTGTCCACTGCTCCAGAACACCCTGCTCTTCCCATCTGTTTCAATGTGTGTGAAACTACATCGTCTCTAACAACTGTTGCTATGTGGACAACTAGATGAAGTCCATCGATGACCTACAAATGAGGGAATTATGCTTAAACTGATAGTTCACTCTGATGCTAATGTTTATGTAGTTAACTGAAATAGGAGATTTTCCAGGTGGAAAGCAACTTGACGAAGAGTCTGGAAAGTTCTAGTCCCCAAGCTAATGTTTAACTAGATGTGAGAATTCAATCATTACTCTACCACAATGAACCACCCACTGTTTCCTCCGTGAACTCCACTAATTCCTCTATGAAAGAATCACAGTAGAAAAAAAAAGTCCATTTCTCATAAGGTTATTTAAGGATTCTGTTATAATACTTATCATTTGTGGCTATATTCAATGACATTTAAGACATTTTATTATAATAACTTAAACAAAAAAATAACTTTACCAGATTAAAATAACAACAATTCTGTTAGATATAAAATTACTGTTATGGTTACTGAGTAAACAAAAATACAACTTTTCTTCAAAATTACAAGAGATTCACTAAGAATAAAAGTAATGCTATACTAAAGCATAAGCAAAAATAATAATTATGAGAGTTACAAAAGTCAAGTCCCATGTAGCACTCTGCCCAGGCTTCACCTTAGATCAACTAAATCAGAATCTCTGGGAGTGAGACCCAGACATCAGTATTTTTTAAAATTTTCTTGAGGCAAATTAATTAAATTCTCTGAGCCTCAGTTTCCTCATCTATAAATAAAATATAGAACCTACTTCAAATGTGAGAATTAAGTGAGATAAAGATTAGTTGTTAGTATTATTATTATTATTATTCCAGAATAATTTTGCTTCTATTTATAAGTTGGAGAAAGTCACAGATTGAAAAAACAAAGCATGCTCTTAATGGTGTCTGCAGAGATATTTAATAAATATTCATCAATGATGAAGATAACATCTCCAAGTTGGCTAGCCTTCGGGAAGCCATTTGGACAATGAAAGCTATTATGGACAAAGTTTTCCAAGGGAAATTATCTCATTGTAAAAGGCTCTACAAAATGCTAAAACACAAGCCTAATTCTGGGAACTTGTGAAGGACAACTCTTACAGGAAGGAAAATTTACACTTTTCGCCTCTCACTACCTCCCAGTAGGTGGTATACAAAAGAGAATCACAGCCACTGACTTAGAACACACAAGAGTGCACTCAGTCCAGCTTCAAAGTTGACTATCAGCTAGGACAGAAATGAGAATATTTTCTTTCCTCTGAATTGCCCTCCCACTGTAGAAGATTTATTAGAAAAATCTATATGAGCTCATAACCTTAGAACACACCTGGCCTAACCACAGCAGCAGTACTTTTACCCACCATCAACTCTCTGGAGCATCCCCCATCATGCAGATTTTAATCTCTAATTCCTTGGAAGTTCTCGAATTTCATTTCTCAGAGCAATAGATTCAGCATAAAGGTTTTCCAAAAAGTCACACCCAGGGAACAAAATTGTTGGCCAGCAATGCAAAAATTTGGGAAAACATAATCTCCTAAACAAAAGAGTTCCATCTCTTGGCTCTTACTGCTCTTGGCATGCTTGGCTTGTGACTCTTGGTTCTCCTGCAGTTGCCTGTGTGGCCCACAGTCATGCGGACCCCCATATGTGCCATGGACTGATGGACTGCAGTGGGGAACGCAGCTAAGCTAGCCTGATGCTGAATAGGACCTGACTCTACATGGAAAGGAAACTCTGGACACTGCCTCTGATGTTAGCTCTGCTGAAACTCCAGCTACACTTCTATCACTGGGCAAAGGGAAATGAGACTTTGGAAACCCTGGGGTGTACATCCATGCAAATAGAAATCACTCATTCTCCTGTGGTAGTTTCAGAAAGTTCCTTTTCTCTGGATATCACAAGAAATCTACCCCTCACAGCAATCGGAGGAGATGAGGCCCACTTCTATTTATAATATAAGCACTACTTTATTCACATGGTAAATTTCTACTCAATTTGGAATATTAAAAATGGCTATCAGATTTAGTTATTAGGTTGGTCATTTAGATGATTGTTGAGATTAATGAGCATTTTTTTCCACCAGATTTGTTCATGTAATCATACTCCCCTCCTCTCATTTTCAGGTATACTTTTCCCCCTTTTTATTTTCTCCATCTGCAATACACAGGTGTTAAAATATCGAAGATGTACACTAACAACTGTATGTCAAGCTTTATTACTAGCTCAGCAGATGATAGCATGGCACTTAAAGCAGCTAAGTTCATAGGTTTAGAACCCAAACACATCAGTAAGTCTGATGCCAGAAGCATCTCCATCACTTGCCATTTATTAAAAGATGAAGCAGGAGAGAAAATCTAGGCTGATTAAATGTGAATCCATCTCCTCTGTCAGAACAATATACAAAAATAACTATTAGAACAATAACCCTGTAGAGTATAGCTTATTTTATATAGCTAGCAGATTTATAAAATCACAGTGGAGAAAATAATCCATTATACAAAAATCCAAAATGATCACTTATAGAAAAATGTGGCCATTATATTTCATTTTCAAGATCCATACAACTAAACAATGACTATATTTTGTATAGAACTCAAGTATAGTTGAATAAATTGGTGAATGCAACGTTGGTTCTACCTGTACGGTTGGTAAAAACGCACAGAGTCAAGTATTTGGATAACTTCTCTTGATCTTGAAGATAACCACATCCAAAGTTGACAAGTCTAAGAACATAAAGACAAAAAATTTTGAATGCATTTAAAAATAACTTCCCTTGCAAAGGATAGTAACCACTAAAATATACCTATAGAACTAGAGGCATGTTCCAGAAAATTTTAAGTATATATAATACATTCTTTTGTTTAAAAATTCCATAAAAGTTTTTTTTTAAATACATGGTATATAAATGATGTGGTCTGGGAAACAGAAAAAATTATTTTCTACTTCATTTTTTTTTCTGACTTACAGGACTATATATGTTTCAAAATAAGCACAACTGTACATTTATATATGATGAAATAAAACTAGTAAAACATTGAATAGTTTGGGATTATTATTGCTCTAATTCAAGAAGACTTTACTTTTTCTGTGCACTGATGGTGTTGTGTCTAGTTTTTCAAAAGTGTTTTGTGTTTTTACTAAAATAGCCTGGGGGGTGGGGGGGGTCGAAATCACAATTTGTCTAAAAAGGAAAAGAAGTAACTCGATAGATCCAGTTGAGTTACAAGTGGATTGACCTGTGATTTCCTCTTTGATGGCTATAGAAAAGGGATTTTATGTTTGATTTAAAGGTGGCTGGCTCTGACTCGCTGACTCCTTTTATTGAATCACATGGAGAAGCAGTACTTCCGCAGATCAAAATAGACAGAGACAGCCTGTAGAAATCAATGGCTGCAAAATTCAGCGCAATTGGCTTTACATGGAAACACCCTGATAAAGCTGTTTCCATTCCCTATAGAAAACAGAAGGATAAAAGAAGACATGGAATATCTGATTATCCTTTTGTCTGCATACCATAGATTAGGCATGATTATAATCATTCTGCCCTCAAGTATCTATGAAAATTAAGAGAAATCTTTGAACAACTTACCTAAATCCTGAGTCACTTAATGATATGTCCAAAGGTGCTTCAAACTGTCAAAAAGTCAGGAGAAAACAAAAATGACATTCAGTAACAACAGTGCTGAAGCTGGACACTACTGTGCTCGCCTAATGATGAAAAGCCATCTTGTCTTCAGAGGTTATTCTGAAGTTTCACAGCACAGGAAGTTCATCAGGAATATTTTGGAGCTTACTACAATCACAAGATCCACCTGTATTTATTTCTCAAAAGGGCTTATATTTGGCAAACTTTGTCTCAGATTTGAATATCATAAATGAATTATATAATAAGCCAACGAAAGGGACACAGGAAAGAAGGAATGCATGTCTTTAGCTGGAGCGTGGATGAGTCAAAAAGGGGGAGAGCAGAGGGATGCAGGAGGAATAAATGAATTCTTATAATGGTATGATACCAATCTAGACCAATATTAGTTCTCATCAGGAAGAATAATAATGTACTGTCCATTACTGATAAAAATATTTATGGCTCCTCACCCCAAGGCTAGCATTCCAAATAGCTTTTTCAGGAGTCATGCTAGATTTTTACTAATTAAACTATGCCCTCTCCCTGACCTTATTCTCAAATCCTCCAACTTCATGAATCCTTTGGCACCAATGACTTATAACTACTTAAAGCTATTTACTATAGACCACACCTATTACCTTCTACTAATCCCCACTCTTTCATGGGAAACCTTCAGTTGTCAGAAATTTCCTGTGTATATTAATTGCAATTGTTATAGTGTTGAAACCTTGAGGTGGCAAACCCTATTTTACTTGTTCACACAACTGACAAATAGCATATCAAGAGTGCTAAAATGCTGTTAATGATAACAATTCTCTTTAAAAAGGGGCGGCAACATTTAAAAAAAAATTTCCTCTAGCTCAGTCATTATCTGGACTTACCATTAGGTTAAAGTTCTCATCAGCACAAAACTGGATACATTTTAAGGTACTCCTTGATCTCTAAAAGAGAAAACCAAATAAATGACATTTTCTCCCACTAAAACCAACAAAAATACGAGTTAAAAAACAAAAGAGCATGAGAGAGAAAGAAGCGGCGAAGAAGCAAACAGTAATGAAAAGCTTTTCATTCTTTTTAATAAACCATCAATGAAAATGCAAATCACTAGTAAATTACAATAGCTAATAGGTAATGTCACAATTCAATTGTACCTATAGAAAGGAGGGCCACCGGACTAGCTTTTACCTTCAGGTCAATGTAGTATAATCTCTGCTCTGCCATATCCCATTGAGCCCAAACAAAATCCTCTGCTATTCTCTGTCGTGGGACATGGTCAGAATTTTTAATCACCTAAAGAGGCAAAAGGATTTTAGAAATAAGTAACTATTTTAAAAGAAAAAAAGATCTGGGATTCATTCTTAATTTGCATATTTTATCTGACTAATACATGTAAATATTTCAACTGTTTATTTTTACAAAAAAAAAAACCACATACTAGTACATATGACAAGTCTTTTAGAAAAGATGTAAGACATCATTTCATTACTTGCTCTTCCAAACACTTTATAATATATTATTTTACTCTATTCCTAGTTTAACAGACAGACGGTGGTGTTGAAGGCAAGGCCACGGCTACCACAGAACTGAACCTGGGACCCTTTGGTAGGCAGGCTGACGCTCTCTCCACTGAGCCAAACCAGTTAGGGCCCCTTTCTATATCTTGTATTCTTCACATTTTACAATTGCAACATTGTAAGTTGAAAGACAGCATATAAAGAAAATGCTGTTTCCATAATGTTAGCCTATTTTTTAATGTTTTTTTTAATTGATTTTTAGAGAGAAGAAGGGAGAGGGAGTGAGAGGGAAATACTGATTATATGGGAGATGGAACCCACAACCTGGGTATGTGCCCTGAACAGCAACCTTTCGGTGCCCAGGACAACACTCAGCCAACTGATCCACACTGGCCAGAGCATATTAACCTATCTTCAACAGTCTAGAAATGTCATTCTTCTGGGGGAGGAGGGGAGAGAGCAGGTTCTGAAGCAAAAGAGATTTCAAATATTTACCACTCTATTTCCATCTTCTTGGATGACTTGAATATGAAATTGTTCAATATCTTTAAACAAAGAAGCAACAGAAAGATCATTTAATCTCCATGAAAAACATGAGTACTACTTTTTCGCCTAACCACTTTAAATAATTTTTTTAATAAATAAGGAAGATTAAACAACTGACTGAAAAATATTATCACAGATAATAATCTCACAATAAAGGTTCAAAACACAACCTCCCTTTACAGTCTGTTTCAAGTCCAATACTTACCCTGCTCCTCAATATCAACAATGCACACATAAATCTTTCTGCTCCCCTGAGTTCCCTCAACAAGCATTTGCCTCCCCTATACCATCGGTCTTACGTGGAACTATTAATAATAAGAGCTTATTTGTTAGGGCTTACTTGCAGTTTCCAAATACCAAACGCCTGTTTGTATGAAAATATCAAATAGAAACATCAAAGAAGATATCCGGGGAGGCTTTTTTATAGGGAGCAACTTCACATGAACAAAACTATGCATTTCGGGTCAAGGTGGAGATGACCCTTTCTCTCGGTAAGCAATTTAGATTCATTCATCAGACTTACCTCCTGCCAGTTCTAGTTACAAAAGTCTGAGACAGACAGTTGGGCAACAGCCCTTCTACAGGAGTCCCAGGTCTCCAAGGGACATTAAGGGTCCTCAGAGCCTCAACATTGGTGAGTGGACCTCTAGAAGATTCAGTCGTGGCCAATACTCCAACAGGAGAGTCCACACATGAAGTCCCATACACCACCTAAGGATGCACTTACATTTCTCTTCTGAAATCAGTAACAGGTGGTTCTCTGGAAAGGGATGACTGTCCACATGTGGGTAGAGGAACTGCAAAAAAAAAAAAATCAATCAAAACCATGAGTAACTACCTTGCTTACACAACTATCTCAAAAGGTGTATTTGATCGCTATATTGCTACATTCCAGAGAAGGGGCTGGGAACCACAGAACAGTGTAGGCGAGTCACACATGTAGGCACACACGCGTAACAGATGGAAGCCAGCAGGAAAGTGGAACACTTTCAGGAGCTCCGTTTTCCAGGGGCAAATTGACTGCAGGTCTAATGTAATTCATTTATATTTTTTAATATGTTTTATTGATTTTTTTACAGAGAGGAAGAGAGAGGGATAGAGAGTTAGAAACATCGAGAAAGAGAAACATTGATCAACTACCTCCTATTGGGGATGTGCCTGCAACCAAGGTACATGCCCTTGACCGGAATCGAACCGAGGTCCTTTCAGTCCAAAGGCCGACACTCTATCCACTGAGCCAAACCAGTTAGGGCTAACGTAATTCATTTAAATGGTAAGGCTAAAGGGTAAGCTATCTCTAGAGATGGGGCTTCCTATTTGGAAAATGTGATTCTGAAGTCAATCAGAAACAATGTTAACATTTGTACAGAAAGCTCTATTGCGCATGGCACAAAATAAGAGCAATCAATACATTGGTTGTGCAACCAAACCCTAGTATTTAATTAGAGAGCTAAGTAAACGCACTCTCCATTACAACCTCAAGTCCCACATCCAACAGACAAAGCACAACACAGCCAGGGACTTTCCAAGAAAGGACAGTGAGTCACCGTGTGGCATGTGGTGGAGGACTTGCAAGCCTCAAAGAATGACTGCCCCTGGGAAGGAAAGGGGGGCAACCCCACTCCTCCACCTCAGTGCTCTCCCATACGTGACAAGCAGGCAGCCAGAAACCCATCGCCTGACGCTGTCGAATGTGGTCTGAGAGAGACTGGTCATGGGATAACACTCCAGTGACTTAATTATTTCATTATCAAAAGGTTCACTATAAATCAGCAGGCTTGTCTTATTACATGAAAGCTTACTGGAGAAGACCCACCAGTGAATTTCCCTTTCTCCCTCCAAACTGGAACGCATACCGAAAGAACACAACCTCTAACATCCCTATCATATAATTGGCAGCCTCTCTATAGACTAGGAACATTTTTGTCAAAATATGTTACCTGGTGTCCTAACTTTTCAGAATGACAAGTTGGCAATAGAAATGGTCCATTTTTTAAATTATCTGTAGTCTAGTTTCCCTTTTAGAATTGAAAAACAAAACAATAACTATATACCATTCTTCATAGCAATAACTTCCAAATTATAAAATAGATAGCAGATGTAGAACTCAGCTACAAAAATAACACAGAACTTAATTTTCTCCTGATGTGTGAAACAGTGTACAAGGAGCAAGGTACTTTGAGGCCTGGGGAAAGGAGAAGCACAGATGAGGGACACCACGTGGGTAACGGAAGAGTAGATGCTCAGTGTCTCAACACAAGGAGGTGCTCCCACCGAAGATGGCCGGGCCTCCCCTGGAGCCCCAGAGGTGGCCGGGGCATGCTCGCTTTGGACTGTGACCCGGACGAAGGTGCTGTGGACTTCTAAACCTCTGCCTGGTCCTTGTGTGGCAATCAATGAGAAAAAGGTTTTGAAAGTCCCACTTAAGTATTGGTTGTTTTTCTTTCTTTTATGAAGCAACCCTAGAGCAAGGCCTAGAAGCCAGAATATAAATCAACGGGCTTCAGTCACAGCTCTACAAAAACCCGGAAGATTTGGGGTATTTTTTATTTTATTTTTTATTTGGCATTGTGAGTAAGAAGTCATCGAGATGTTAAGGAGGTATTTATCTTCCCAAATATGGAGCTTTAATTGTTCATATTCATCAATGGGAAGTTCGCACGATAGGGGTGTAGATGGGGGTCTAATGATTCACTGGAACTCTCTGGAAGATCCGCCTCATGCTGCAGGGAAATTCTCAAAGGGCACCAGGTTAGGGTCCAAACCTCAGCACTAGTCACGTGTGCACTGGGTAACAAATCTTTCACCATTTTGAACATGTCAGTAAATGACTGTGAAAAGTCCATGAAGTCCTGACTTGGGGTTACAAATAAATGTTAGCAGAATTTTTGTTTGTTTGTTTGTTTGTTTGTTTGTTTATTTTTAATATACTTTATTGATTTTTAACAGAGAGGAAGGGAGAGAGATAGAGAGCTAGAAATGTCGATGAGAGAGAAACATCGACCAGCTGCCTCTTGCACACCCCCTACCAGGGATGTGCCCGCAACCAAGGTACATGCCCTTGACCGGAATCGAACCTGGGACCTTTCAGTCCGCAGACCGACGCTCTACCACTGAGCCAAACCGGCTTCGGTAGCAGAGTTTTTAAAAATTCAGAATGAGCAAGCAATGAAGGCTGCCTCTGCCTAGTCGCCCTGCATTGTTCCACACAGTGCTTCTACTGTCAAGTCCACTTCACGGAGTTGATCAATTACGGGGTTAAGTCATTGAACCGTAGATATTTGACCTGTCAATTCTATGAATACATTAAATAAACTATTTTAAACTTACCTTAAGTATGTTTTTTATATTTAATATTTTATTACATAAAACATTACCTCACTATCAGACAAAACATGATCCAATAGAGAGACAGGGAAATTAGGGTTTTAAAGATTTCCATGTTTGCAAAGGGTAGAGCTGATAATTCCTGCCATACCATTTCTCAGAGTGCTCTGAGGATAAAATGTAATCATGTATGTGAAAGCACTGGGTAAACACCGTTGCCTCTAGGTTCCCACCTTTTGATTAATGAGATAAGTGTTAAATGACAAGCTCACTCACCTGAACCCAAACATAGCTATCCACGGCTTTTAGAACCTTCACATTGTTCACCGGGTGGATTTCAACCAACAGAGTTAAGCACTTTGATCCTACAAAATAAAGGAGGCTTTTAGAAATGAAGACCAGAAAAATCACACATTATTTTCTCCACATAGGTCTGAACTTGGAAAATGTACATGTGTTGCCTATTATATTACACAAAGAAAAATAATTTTCTTAAAAGTTTACTGTGGCCCTGACCGGTTTGGCTCAGTGGATAGAGCCTCGGCCTGCAGACTCCAGTGTCCCCTTGGTTGTGGGCACATCCCCAGTAGGTGGTGTGCAGGAAGCAGCTGATTGATGTTTCTCTCTCATCGATGTTTCTAACTCTCTCTCCCTCTCCCTTCCTCTCTGTAAAAACTCAATAAAGTATATTTTTAAAAAGTTTACTATGAGATTTCTTGGAACCGCAAACAGATACAGAAAACATCGTAAAGGAGAAGTCGATGCACGTGGAGTGAGGAGCCAGTTCCTCTCATTCCTCGGCCAGTTTCAGCACAGCTTCCCAGGCCCTCGCAGCTTCTAAGTCTAACTAAGACAGTTTGCTTCAGCGTCGCTCCAGTTCTGCAGCACGGTGGCAGATGTGGTTTGTGTGTGGAAATGTGAAGATACTCCTGATGCATGAATGTGTTTCAGTTGACAGCACCCGTCAGTAGGACAGGGACTTGGCTACCCGCAGGAATGGGCAGAGCTGCTCTGATAAACACCCACTTATTTCCTCAGTGTCACATTCAAGCAAATGCCAACAAAGATAGCAGCTAGGAGGAAGTCCTTGGATACAGGCTATAATGGGATTATCACAAATATCCAAATATAGGCCCAAAGCTCCCCTCCCTCAAGATTAAACTTCAAAAAGAGTTGCCTTATATTTGAGTCGTTATATACTGTTCTCTGGTACTCTTCAATGACTTCATTTTGAATGACAATGTACAATTTGGGTATAGCACAAGAAAAATCAAATGTTGTTCGGTCAATGGGTACTTGTAGCTTCGAATAAAAATACAGGATCATACACCTATTAAAAAGGACTGTATTTCTAATAAATGGGATAGAAATAAAAGTGAGGTGCTTTAGGAATTTACCTGGTGACTCAAAAAAAAAAAAAAAATGGTTCTAGGATTAAGAAAGACCATGGTGTCAAAGATACTTGTGATGAAAACAGCATAGAAAATTTCTGTGAAATGTGAGAATGAAGACAATTATAATTGAAAAGTAAAAAATGTTATTTTTTTAAATGTAAACATTAGAAGAAAAAGCAATTTTCCTTATTGAAATGGGAATTTTTAGGGGTTAAATAGGCAGGTTTAGGGAATTTTTATAATTAAGGGGATCCATGGAAGAAACAAAGGGCTACAGAGCCACAAAGGTTACATTTCCATAAGACAACAGAATTGGGAGAGGCAGCAGTTACATTTTCATAAGACAAGGAAGTTGGAAGCAGCAGAAATTACATTTCCATAAGATTGGGGAACTGGGAGTAGCCAAAGGTCTATATTTACAAAATAAAGAAGGGCCTCCCCAGTCCCATGAGAGGTTTGACCTTTGAGCTCAGGAGTTGCTATAGTGACCAAATCAAAAAGGAATGAATAGTGGCCAAAAACTGCAGCCTTTATAAACTAGGGGAAAAGAAACTCGGTGGGACTCTTTCCTCCTCCCCACATAGGAGTCTGTGCTTGTTCTTCAGTAAACCTCCACCTTTACATCTTCCATCGGTGGTTTCATTCTTTGACTCGGACAGACAAAGAATCTGGGGAAAGCCATCCGGCCCAGGGGAAAACCACATGTTCCAGTCCAAAATTCCCATATTGTCATTATTTTACTAGAGGCCTGGTGCATGAAAATCTGTGCACTCGGGGGGTCCCTCAGCCCACCTGCCCCCTCAGCCCACCTGCCCCCTCTCGAAGCCCAGGAGCCCTCGGGGGATGTCCACCTGCCAACTTAGGCCGGCTCCGAATGCACTGCTGAGGAGGCAGGAGAGGCTCCTGCCACCTTTGCTGCACTTGCAGCCATCAGCCTGGCTCGTGGCTGAGCAAGCTCCCCTTATAGGAGCACACTGACCACCAGGGGGCAGCTCCTGCATTGAGCATCTGCCTCCTGGTGGTCGGTGCATGTCATAGTGACTGGTCATTCCACCCTTAGGGTCAATTTGCATATTACCCTATTACTACCATGTTTCCCCGAAAATAAAACATCCTTCGAAAATAAGACCTACTTACAGGTTTCCTTCTGAGTGAAATATAAGGCATCCCCCCGAAAATAAGGCCCCCCCTAAGTTCTGTCTCAGAATGAAAATTAATTTACCTTAAACTGGTCACTAGGGCCGCCCCAACTGGCATCTAGCAACCAGTGACATTACGCACATGCTCAATGGCGCATCCTATAACTCACCTTCAGGGCAAGGCCACACCTCTTTGCAAACCACTGTGTCCCTAGCAGAATGCATAGTGTCTGACCCTCTGCAGGCACTCAATATTTATTGGGTTTGAGCAGAGAAGTGGATATTATAGAAGGTTAAAAGGATGGGGGGGGGGGGGGCATCACATAGGTAATAAACTATGAAGTGGGCCTTGGCAAATGAGTAGAATTGACTTTATATTTGAAATTGATGAACTACTCACATTGCATTATGTGTTGGTCAACAGTTAACCAGATATTTTTAGATAATGGTATTGTTAAAGAAATACCAAACTTTCACCAATCCTTTACATCAGCTTCTGACCAAGAGGTTCGAGTATGTTCTCAATGTTTACTTTGCAGGTGCTAATTGCCTTTTTATACTTCTGCCATTTACTGTCATAATATTTTCTGTACTTACTTGTTAACTTGAAAAAAATTTAAACTCTTTTACATGCTTGACATAATCTTTACCTTTTCATTCTGAGATAAGGCTATTTATAAAGATGCCTGAAATTTGACTAAGTCGTTAATAAATCTTCATCTATCAGTAAGCACTAAAAAGTATAATGTCATTACCTGGTTGAAGCTCATTCTTTCTTCCTTCTTTAGTAGATTGAACTAAACTTGCAGCTAATGGAAAAAGAAAAATAATAAGTCATTAGCAAATGATTCATGCAGTGGCTTGTTAAAGTTTCCTATATTTGCTCTGTGAATTAAGTGAGGGCTCAAAGCATCTGTCAGGGATGATTAAGGAGGAATACCAAGTAATCTTTTTTGTAGGTAGAATCAATAGATTCTTTATTTCACATCTAATCCGCTAAGAGCTTCTCTTCACAGAAAATCATTGTAATACACTAATCAAATATTGTAAACATTCAATACTTTGAAACAAAAAAAAATGTAATTTAGTTTTTGGCACATAGCATGAAAAGAGTTCAACTTACCAAGCAAAGTTCTCTCACTGTTGACAGAGCAACTGACAACTTGCAAGTCTTTCTCGAACGTATAGAGATGCTATTAAAATAAAGCATTTTTTAATTGGGGGTTTCATATACAGATTCCATTTAGCTGGCTACCAAGTATCATTGTGGCAAACGTTTTATTAAAGAACCCTCAATGAACCAGTTTTTCATACTGAGGAATTTCTGATTATTTTTTAAGAAAAGAAAAAAAAGTGTGCTATTGCAGGCCATGCTTGGCACTGAAACTTAGCAGTTAGGAGCACAGACCTTGGAGTCAAACTAGACTCAGGTTTTAATCCTGGCTCTGCCACTTGCTAGGTGTGTGGCTTTAGACAAGTTACTCAACCTTTCTATCTGCACATCAGTAAAATAAGAATCATAATCCTTATCTTATGAAATTGTTAGAAGGATCAAGGGAGATATTCCATATGAAGTACTTAATACAATGTTTGCCATACATAAGCACTCAAATGTTAGTTATTAAATTTATTGAGGCAAGTAAAGTTTTAATCAAATTATATAACATGACATAACTAGTCATGTCTAAGAGACTGTCACAAGTACATCTCTTTTAGGACTCTTGTATTTAGTGCTTTGGCAAAGTAATCTACCTTTATTTAATCTTAATTTTTATTGTTTTGCTGCTGTTTGAAATTTTGCAAGCATTTGTTTCAGTTCCTTGAATATTAAAGAAAATTAAAATGGTCCCTAAAAGGATGTGAGGCACAGACTGAGGAACTGGAGATAATTACTTATATTGGGTAAACTTATAAAGTACACTCAGAGGATAAAGAAGATAAAGAGTCTTAGATGTCAGAGGAGAATGGGTTAAGAGAAACAATAAATAGTAGAAGTATTAAGAAAGGAATTAGTACCTCAGGGGGAAAAATCCCTGAGAACACACTAGAATCCTATGGCCAGAGTTGGTTTAAAGAAAAAAAAAAAATGGGGGAAGTCAGAACACACTAAATTACAGAAAATGAACTTTGAAAACTTTGAATAAGAACTAAGAATAAGAAGGCTCTGAATTCATGTGAGAATGTTTGGTTTCCTTTGACTCTTGCTCTAATTGAGGAATTCTAATTTTCAAATAAGAAGAATCATGGATGTATACACTTAATGTTTAGTCTTTTATCCTTTTAATTACAAAATAGCATGAGCATAATCTCCATATTTAAAACATGCAAACACTACCAAATAAAAAGTCAAAGCTCTCCATTATGCTCACTCAATCCTAACTCTCTTCTAAAATGAAACGTGATGGTAATTTGCTCTTTAGCATTCTGGAGTTTTTAAAATGAGTTTTTAACATATATTTATACACATGTGTAGCATAGTTTTCTTGCAGTTTTTTAAAACGTAAGTGGAATGTACTAACCTGGCAACTTGTCTCGTTCATGTAGCAATGTTTGGGGAAGCTTTTGTGCCCTTGTACATTTTTAGACTTCTTAATCCCTTAAGAGTTGTAAATCGTGTTTATATAGGCACAAAATGACTTCCTCCCATTTGCCCCCAAAATTAGACAAGTGTTATCACATTATCTAATGCCTTATGTGGGTGGCTTGGGGAAATTTTTTAAAAAGCAGACTAGGTTCTATACCTGGATCTTTGAAAAGCGAGATAAGTGAAGGTTAAACAGAAGCAGAACTCAGAGCTAGAGGTCACTGTGAGATGCTGAACTTTTAAGGGCACACAAATATTGAAGAGGGCACATAACTGGCTTGAGCCAATTTAGCTTAAATCTCAAAGGACTGAGTTCAGCTAATGTTTTGGTCCGAAAAACTTTGCACTTAAAAAGTGAGAGAGAGAGAGAGAGAGAGAGAGAGAGAGAGAGAGAGAGAGAGAGAGAGAGAGAGAGAATGGTGCTAAGAGAGGGTAAAATGGAGAAAAGAAAGGAAAAGAAATAAAAACTAAAATTTTAGAAAATAAAATAAGAATATGAATCTAGAAAAAGGGGACAGAAAGAAGGAAAACTCTAAAAACAGTAAAGTAACCAATGAGTAATTCATAATCAACGGTGATTTTTACCTCATTTTGTCTGGTTTGGCAATCATATAATCCAAAGACGACATTTCCCTTATCATCCTAAAAAAATGTAACTAGGTGTTTAGTAAATGTCATTGTTTAGAAAGTTAGGATGTTACAGGTTTTAAAACAAAACTGCAATAAGGCAATCAACATTGGCAACTAGCACTCTAAAGGGACGGAACCTATTTCAGCTCCTCATCTGGGCTCAAAGGGTAAAACAGATTGAGAGTGGACAGCTCAGTGCGTTTGGGGCACATTCGCAGGACTGAGCATGGCGAAGGGGTGAATCTCTTTGTACTTCTATTTATTTAAGAAAATATATATAATGAATATTGGGAGTTGCTATATCAAGGCTATGATATTTTTATAAGGAAAACATTTTAATCATACGGTTTCTTAAATGCAGCATGCTTACAGATACAACTTAAAATAATAACTTTTTAAGCAAAAAAAAGTACAGTATTGTTATCCCTCAATAACTGTGCAAAGCAACTGACCACTGAAATTATTCTTTCATGTTTCTCTACTATACTATAGTTAAATATTCTTTATAGTTAAATATTCTTTCCTTAGCCTAGCTGGGGGATGGCTCAGTGGTTAAATGTCAACCCAGGAACCAAGAGGTCACAGGTTTGATTCCCAGTCAGGGCACATGCCTGGGTTGTGGGCTAGATCCGCAGTGTGGGGCATGAAGGAGGCAGCCAATCAATGATTCTCTCAGCATTGATGTTTCTATCTCTCTCACTTTTTTCCCTTCCTCTCTGAAATCAATAAAAAATATATTTCAAAAAAATTTTTTTTCTTTCCTTAGAACACTTAACTTTGAAAATGTGTTGTTGCCCAGCTGGAGTGGTTCAGTTGGTTGAGCAATGTCCTATACACCAAAAGGCTGCCTGTTTGATTCCCGGTCAGGGCACATATCTGGGTTGCAGGTTCAATCCCTGGTTGGGACATGTACAGAAGTCAACCGATGGATGTTTCTCTCCCCACTCCTCTCTTTTTCTCTCTCTATCCCTTACTCTATCTAAGTATGTCCTCAAGTGAGGATTTAAAAAAAGAAAAACAGCCCTAACCTCAGTGGATAGAGTGTTGGCCTGCGGACTCAAGAGTCCCAAGTTTGATTCCGGTTAAGGGCTTGTAACTTGGTTGTGGGCACATACCCAGTAGGCAGTGTGCAGGAAGCAACTGATCGATGTTTCTCTCTCATTGATGTTTCTAACTCTCTATTCCTCTCCCTTCCTCTCTGTAAAAAAATCAATAAAATATATATATATATATTTTTTAAAAAGACAGAAAATATATTGTTAAATAATAAAAGCTCAAAAGTCTGAGCATATCTAATTCTGAACAGATGATGTAGAACAATTATTTTATTTTTCCTCAAAGATGAAAATTTAACATATTAATTGGGTTAAACATTTTCTACTGGGCACTTTTTCTCTAGAAAATGGAATTTTCATTTATTAAAAAAAAATTGAGTACTATATCAGACATTATGCACAGTTTTATTTTATTTAAAAAAGAGATATATTACAGATTAAATATCAATAAGAAATATTTGTTATCCCTCAATAAAATAGAGCATAAAATTTTTTTTAAAAACTACAAATGGTTAATATAATACTAAATTTTATGCTATATATATTTTACCACAATAAAAAAGATAGAGACATACCTTATAGGTATAGATTATATTTCCATTTCTTTCAACATTTAATACACGTAAGCTCTCATAATTATTTTCTAAAACACCTGAAAGAGAATAATAAGAAGTTAGTACTTAGGAGATCTTTAAGAACATATCTAACAAATCTATACTAATAAAAGGGTAATATGCTAATTAGAACGGATCGAACAGATGTTTTCCAAAAGTCCAACATCCTTCCAGACAAAGTCAAGGTGGTGGGAACCAAGGCAGAGATGGTTAGGGGCCATCAGGCAGGGGAGTGAAATTAGGGGTGATTAGGCAGGAAGGCAGAGTGGTTAAAGGTGATCAGGCAGGCCAGCAGGCAAGCGGTTAGAAGCCAGACATCCTGGATTTCAAGAGGAATGTCCAACTGCCATTTTAGGCCCAATCCGGGCAGTTGGACATTCCCTGAGGGGTCCTGGATTGGAGAAGGTGCAAGCCAAGCTGAGAGACCCACCCCCCCACACCCTGTGCATGAATTTTGTGCACCAGGCCTCTAGTGTGTGTGTGTGTGTGTGTGTGTGTGTGTGTGTGTGTGTGTGTATTAGTGAAAAGCCAAGTACAAAGAATACATACTGATGACTCCATTATATAAAGTTTAAAAACAGGCAAAGCTAATCTATTGAATGAGAGGTCAGAATAGTAGTGACCTTTAGGGAAGAGGAAAGGAACAATGATTAGGAGATATATCAGGAGCCCTCTGAGGTGCTGGCATGTTGTATACGGTGGGTATACTGATTTGCTCACTTTGTAATAGCTTACTGAGCTGTACACTCTTGTCCAGTGTATCTTTCTGCATGTATGTTATACTTGAATCAATTTTAAGCACTATTAGCTTTTGCCTTATGTATGTTATTCATTAGGGGTATAGAAATGTAGAACTGTTATAGCTTCCTGGTGGATTAACCTTTCAGAAACTCAGCAGATTCAATCCCCTGTGACCTGACCAGGACCACATGGGGGAGGCCACCAATCCATATGTCTCTTTCACATTGATGTTTCTCTCTCTCTCTCTTCCTACCCCACTCTTCCCTCCCTTCCACTCTCTAAAAGTCAATGGGAAGAATATCTTGGGGTAAGGATTAAAAATAAAAATAAGCATAATCACTTGGTCTCTTAGAAGAATAACATGATTCAATCAGATTGCTCCTCAATAGCACTTCACAATTTTCGGAGTTCTTATTTCTATTTCATCCACACTATGTAAGGTATTATAGGTCTATTGTAATGATAAAACAATTGAGTTTAAATAAGGTTAAGATACTTGGCCAGTAATCATCAATGGAAAAAAGTGGCAAGACTAAACTCAAACCTTAGAAAATGGTAAAGAGAATGAATTAAATTTCTTGTACCATGCTTACAATGGGAAAATGGATAATTACTGAAAAAATCCTTTTACAGTAGATTTTGTAGACATCTAAGGAGAATTTCAGTGAGTTTCTTTTCACACTGCACATGACTCAAAACTTCTGGAATGCAATGTGTCAATACCTTGAGAAGTGTGTTGTTTTTTTTCTTTCAAGATTTTAAAGATAATGAGAGACTTTTTCCAAAGTACACTTAAAAGGTTTCAGCTAAGATAAGAAACTCCTTGACAAGAAATCTTGCTAAGAAAATCCAATTACTTTGCAAGAGCACATCTACTTTCAAATCACTAAAAAATTAGGAGAAAAATATTCTCCAAAAAGTACAGGTCACAATAAATGGTGTATGCTAATTTCTTTAAACCACTAGTTCTCAACGCTGGCTGTGCACTAGAATCATTATGAGAGCTTTTAAAAGAACATTAATCCCCAAACTCTATTCCAAAATACTCTGATTTTATTAGGCTGGTGAGGGGCTGGTCTCTTGTGTACGCGTTTTTTTTTAATTCCCCAGGTGATTCTAGTGTGCATCCAGAGTTGAGAACCACTAAACTACATACAGGGTGTCCCCCAAAAAATGTACTCACACTTTGAATAATTATAAAGGCAATGTTTATTAAAATACATTTCTTTTTCAACATGTAATAGAATCAGCTGTTAAAACTGTGTATACATTTTGGGAGGTGCCCTGTATTATTATATACAGGAATGGGCAAAAGTAGGTTTACAGTTGTGAGTACATGAAATAGAGTTTATTCTTTTTTTATTATTGTATTGTTTTCCATATGAACAACTGTGAGTGTATTTTGCTCACCTTTGTATCCTATCTAATAAAGAGGGGATATGCTAATTAACCCTCTTGTTGCAAAGATGGCAGAGCCCACAGCCAATAAGGAGTGAATATGCTAATTGACTGCTCCATCCTCAAAGATGGTGGCACCCACAGCCAATAAAAAGGGAATATGCTAATTGACTGCCCCACCTTCAAAGATGGCAATGCCCACAGCCACAAGATGGCAGCCCCCAGGCCCCCAGCTGTCCAGGGCTGGCCTGAGGTACAGGCAAGCCTTGGATGGCAGCTGCCCAGTAGCCTAGGGCCACCCAAGGCTTGCACTGCCAGCAGTGGCAGCAACAGAGGTGTGATGGGGGCATCGCCTTCCCCTGATCGCTGGGTCGCCTCCTGCCCCTGAGAGCTCCCTAGTAGGCCAGGCTGAGGGACTCCCCTGTCCAGTGCATGAATTTTCATGCACTGGGCCTCTAGTATTAAATAATAGTCATTATATAGCTTAACTAGAACCAGCTTATAATGTAACCATATTAGACAGTTGAAAGAAATAATAAAAAGAATAGCTTCAAGGGTCTGTTAGATAGCAATAACTGCAGTTTAAATAATCCTGCAATGATGTATAAGGTTCTCATCTCAAAAACATTTGAATTAGACAAACTGGGCCTTGTGGGAAATTTGGAGACCAATCTCTCAACACACATTGTTAAGCCATCAGAGCCCTCTTTCCCTGGATTAGTTGCTCATGTTTTAGGCACACCCTTATAAAAGAACTATGTAATAACCTCTTTGCTTATTCATCCTGACTCTTCTCCCAGTATTCATCAGTGGAAAGTCCAGAGGAGGAAGTTTAGCAATTTCAAATGAGGAAATGAGGTGTAACCTTATATGAATACTCAGTGCTCATGAAGAAAAAAAATGTAGCATTTTGATAGCTAAGACACTTGTATGCATAAGTAAACATACTAAAGAAAAGGAGAGTACCTAGATATTAAAAGTGTTGGCACGTCATAACTCATAGAAAATTGAAGCTGGTTTGCCTAATTCACGTAAGTCCTCGGGCTCAACATGACCAGATATTATAATTCCTAAACTTATGAGGTAAACACCAGTATATGACTTAAAAGTCATATTATGAATAAAATGAGACAAGGCAAAGATAGGGCCATTGTTAAGAAGCAATAAAAGGGTATGCAAATGAGAAAAGGAGGCTAGGAAGGTAAAAGGACAGTAAAACAAAATTGATTAAGAAGCCAGAAAAGGAGGCCCATGTCTATGTGGAAATGTGACGTGTGACAGAAGGGGCTTTGCTGTCCCTGAGAAGTAGCAGGGCTATTTGGTTAGTGATTCTACTACAGTTAGCTACTAACATGGAAAAACAATAAAACTGAATTCCTACATCATAAATTACCATATGGATTAAAACAAAATATGAAGAGAAAAGCTCTAATAGAAGTTAATGTAAAAATGTCTTCTTTTTAAAAAAAATATTTTTTATTGATTTTTCACAGAGAGGAAGAGAGAGGGATAGAGAATTAGAAACATCGATGAGAGAGAATCATCCATCAGCTGCCTCCTGCACACCCCCCACTGGGGATGCGCCTGCAACCAAGGTACATGCCCTTGACCGGAATCGAACCCAGGACCCTTCAGTCCGCAGGCCAACGCTCCATCCACTGAGCCAAACCAGTCCTGGCTAATGTAAAAATGTCTTCATGCCTACTGAATAGGGGAAGATTTCTTTTAAAGATTCCCAAAAAGCATAAATCACAAAGGAAAAGACTCATAAATTCAACTCAGAAATTAATTGTTTATCAAAGGCACCATCATGAACTTAAAAAAAAAAAGGTAACATTGAGAGAAAATATTTGCTACATACATGATGAAAAAAGGACTAGAATCCAGAATACATTTTTAGAAAACCCTTCATGTAAAATAAATATGAAGAAAAACACCAAACAATAAGAAAGTGGACATAAGAATGACAGGCATCTCATGGATCTCATGAAAGAAGAAACTCAAATGGCCAATAATTATATAGATACTTAACCTCAGACAACAATTAAATAATATGTAGACCCAGCTGAAACTGGTTTGGTTCAGTGGATAGAGTGTCAGCCTGCGGACTGAAAGGTCCCGGGTTCGATTCTAGTCAAGTGCATGTACCTTAGTTGCGGGTACATCCCCAGTAGGGGATGTGCAAGAGGCAGCTGATCGATGATTCTCTCTCATCGATGTTTCTAACTCTCTATCCCTCTCTCTTCCTCTCTGTAAAAAATCAATAAAATATATATTTTTTAAAAATATGTAGACCCACCCATTTGACAAAAAAAAATCTAAAATATGGAAATATTAAGAACTTGTGAGGATACAGAATACCAAAAACATTTCTGTACTACAAATAGGGTTACTAATAAGTTCAACTACTTTGGAAAGTAATTTGGCACTATCTAGGACGAAAAAAAGATGTGCAGAGCCTATGACTCGGCAACTCCACTGTCAGACATCCAGCCTGGAGAAACGTGCACACCGTACACCAGGCAGCATCCACAAGGTTAGCAAAAGCCTTCAGTGTGGCAGCCTATCCCAGAAACCTTGCAGTTGTCACCAACAAGAAGAAGACTAAGTGCAGATAGGTTCTCGAGGAAGCACTCTGAGACGGTTTTGTATCCGGGATGTCCACTAGGGAATGCTTAGTAAAGTGGGATGAAAGCCGTGGTCGGCAAACTGCAGCTCTCAAGCCACATGCAACTCTTTGGCCCCTTGAGTGTGGCCCTTCCACAAAATGCCACGGCCTGGGAGAGTCTATTTTGAAGAAGAGGCATTAGAAGAAGTTTAAGTTTAAAAAATTGGGCTCTCAAAAGAAATTTCAATCGTTGTACTATTGCTATTTGGCTTTGTCAACTGATGAGTTTGCCAACCACTGGTAAAGCATTCAGGAGGAAGGAGAAGTTGAGATGCAATGGAGGCACACTAGCTTTAGGTAACCTCAGATCCTCCACCAGGGAACCTGTAGAACTGAAATGGATGGTCAAAGTTGTCCTATTTTAAGTCAAAATGGCCAGGCCTTTATACCTCAGCTAAAACCCTAATTAGAAGTAGTCCACACCCAAAAGGCAAGTCAGCCCTCTGTCAGAGCAAGCCCTGAAGGTCTGACATCTGATGACTATCTACTGACCACACTCATAGCATCTGAGACAAGACCTTCCTTGAAAGAAGGATCTAAGCAGTATACTCCATGTTCACCATATTGTTGTATTTTCACATAATGGAATACTATATACCAGTGAACATTAATGACCTAATGCTACAGCAGTCAACATGGATAAACCTCACAATATTGAGAAGAAAAAGCAAAAAAGAATACATATTGTATGCTTTCATTTATTTAAAATTCACAAACAAGCAAAATGAAATTATATTTTGCCAGGAACAAATTCCAGCATGTAATAATTACACAAGAGATTCACCAAAAGATTGATGAAGCTTGGTGGCTCAACAAGAGTGAGCCACATATATAGTTTACCTGTTGGAATGGCTAAAAGGCACTTCCCCCAAACCTGAATAGGATAATCTGTTAGCTGCCAGACATTTTAGGGAATTTTATTGCCTCCTGTTGGCCTAAGGTCTGAACAGCTGTAGGCTATTCCCCAAACTGACAATGTTTCTGTACCCTACCCTTTGAAGAGTATTATCTCCACCATGACTTAGGACAAATTGTGTTAATAAAAGCACGGGTCCTTAGACAAGGAGGGAGTCTTCAGTTCCTTTAGCTGAAGATCCTCTGACCCCCAATGCCTTTCAAAACTTTATCTTTCATCTTTGGACTCCTTCTTAATCTATGCATCAGCCCCTCTCTCCAGATTGCTGAACCCTTTGTAAGGCTGGGGAAAGAACCCTGGCAATATTTTCTTTAGGGGAAATTACATATAGATTAAAACTATAAATAAGATCAAAGGGATGTTAAAATATAAACGTTTAAATGGTCATTATCTCTGGGAGATGAGGGTTAGAGAGAGAAAAAGGATCAGATAGGGGACACAGGAGCCTCTCAAAGTCTTGATATTGTTCTGTTTTGAAGGTGAGTGTATTGTTTTATTTTGTTATTGTTACTACTTATAGCTTACATGTGTTAAAATATTGTTTTGATGACTGTCTTAATTTTTAAAAGAACAAATATTTTCTTCATTTATTTCAGGAGAACCCATTTTCCCCAAGTTCAACCCAGAACCAGGAGATGCAGTAACCAAATCTGGTCTCCTTACTCCTCTACTCCTGATTGATTAACAGAGGGAATTTCCATGGCTAACCCTGGCTGTTTTGCCAGGAATGTGTCATACTTCACCAGTGCTACCAAGCACCACTATAAAATCTTCAATTGCATTTGTTGTAGAAATCTTAAGGTTCCAAATTTAGATAGCAAGTGCACAGGCAAGAGACATTACAATGGTCTAATTATTCACAATTTACATTTGAAAAGCTGAGACTTTGAAAGGAAAGTAATTTGCACAATGTGTGAAGTAATAGCTGTGCTAGAAATAAAATGGAATCCCAGACTCTCCTGCTGGTGCTACAAATTACAGCAGAGGAGAAATTAACTCGGAGGGGAGGGGGAGGGGGGGTGAGCTACCACCCACTGGTTATTATCAGTAGTAACCATTTCTGTCCGTTTAACACTAATGTCTTGGTACTCTGCAACAGCAAAAACTGCCAATATTTTTTTAAAAACTGGTATTTTTAGCAAGTTTACTTTCTGAGGACCCAGCTTTCAGTTGTTTAGTGGAATGTCAATACACAGATTTCTATGTCTTCACAGATGAGTGAAAGACACAAGGAAGCCAACATCTAACTAGCTCACACAGAGATTTTTCAATCACAACACACATTACGGAAGCAGATAACTGTGGCATTTCACACTTCGTCTAACTTCTCCTTTGCAGACATCTGCCATTTAGCAATGTAAGGTGGATGCTCAGAGAAAGGACCGCTTTGGGGGGGAGAGCAGGCTTGGAGCTGCCTGGTGTGTTTTTAAAAGTTAAACCATCAAAAGCTTTTCAGATGTTCAGGTGACTTTTTAAAGTTTCCCCCAAAGGGAGAAGTCTTGCTAATAAGGACACTAGTCAGTAGTCAAACTCAAGCCTTGAGCTACAAAAACATGACTCCTTATTTGGAACGAACAGCCAGTAGGCCAAGACAAGGAACCCTACCGATGTTCCACGGAAGCCTCAGGACAGTGTGAAGCTATAAGGCAAGGATAGACACCTCCCACCAGAACTGAGGAGAAAGGAGTTGTAAATATGGGTAATGTGAGAGTCCTTCTTAAAAAAAAAAAAAAAAAAAAAAATGTCCCCCAGCAGTCTACAGTATCTAAGGAAAAACAGGGGAGACTGAGAAACACGCACCAGGTGGGATCCAGGGGTCTCACTTCTGTGAAGCTGAAAGTAAGCACCACTGCATACAGCACGCTACACACACACACACACACACACACACACACACACACACACACCCCACCTGGGAAATCAAAGAGTTCCCCTTTCAAGTTTTGATTGATCCCTGCTGGGAAGGTTCAAACGTCACGGTTTACTCTCTGATCGAAATCAAAATAAAGGGGATTTTTTTAGTGAAGGAAGCCTCAGCTGCGGGACACACACACACACACACACACACACACACACACACACACACACACAGACGTATTCCCGCCTGACGAAGCTGCGCAGGAGACCTGAGCATCCATGGAGCATCCATCCGCCTGTCCCAGGCCGCCCGGCTGCAGGTGGCGGGCTCGGTGCCGCTTTGGACCAGAGCCGGCTGTCAGCCCAGGGCTCCCGGCCTAGGGCGGACCCCCACCTCCCGCCCTCCGGCCCTTCACACCCACAGCGGCTCGTCCCCTAAATCACGGCCCCTGTTCACACGCGTGGGGACACACCGTGCGGCTGTTCAGGAGTTATCTGCGTTTCTGGGTGTGCGTGGTTCTTTTCCTCCTCACACGCAAGCACTTCCAGGAGCCTCTAGTCTGGCCAGACCCCCGGGGGGATGAACCTTCCTCCCCGGACAGGGGAGCTGCGAATGGCGCGCAAGGAACCACCCTGCCCCGCGCCCCGCGCCCCGCGCCCCGCGCCCCGCGCCCCGCGCCCCGCGCCCCGCGCCCCGCGCCCCGCGCCCCGCGCCCCGCGCCCCGCGCCCCGCGCCCCGCGCCCCGCAGCCTGGGGCGGGGGAGCGGAGCCTCAACCCGGCTCCTGCGCGCCTGCCTTCCGCGGAGGAGATCCTGCTGGGGTACCCCCAGCCCCAATCTCCCCCTCCCAACCCCCCGCGGCTGCTGAAGGTGACTTACTGTGCGCAACGAGCTAGCCAGAGGCTGGAAGATTCTCCGGGAAAATAAACGCAGCCCCGGGGCGGCCCCTCCTACCTTTTCTCCCCGGGGGCTCGGGTGCGGGCGGCACAGCTGGACTCCAGCCGGGGGAGCTCATGCCTGTTGCGCTAACCTTCCCAGGTTGGCAGGGGTCACGGCTGCCCACCCCCTTCCGGTCAGATCGGGGACCACCCCCCACCTGGGAGATCCCCGGGAGGAGCAGCTGGCTCCCCGCACCCGCTCCCCGCCCCCCGGACGCGCCGCCCGCACCTGCGCCGCCGCCTGGGCCCCCGGCGCCCGCCGCCGCCCGCGGCGCCCGCAGCCACGGGAGCACGTCCTCCGCGGGATCGAAGCGGGTGGCCAGGCGGAGCGCCATGGCCCGGAGGACGTGGCCTCGGGGCAGCTCTGGGGCCCCGCGCCGCGGGCATTCCCGGCCCTGGGTTCGCACCCGGGCCCGCTCGCCCTGCGCCCGCCCCTCCTTCCTCTCCCCGCCCCCGGCCCGCAGCTTTCGGTTCTGCCGTCCCGGCCAGAAGCCCGGGCGCCGCCTCCTCCGGCCCAGGCCGAGGCCCGCGCTGCGCGCTGGCCCCGCCGGGCCAGGGAAAGGGGCCCAGGCGCCCCGGGAACCTCAAGGTGCACCCTCCTTGTGGGCGACGCACAGAAAGGGCTGAGGATCTGGGGGGTTTTAAGGGCTTTGGAGGAGATGTGGCTAAACCAATGGTTTCCAAACTGTTGCACATCAGGTGTGGGCGTCAGGCTTCTATTTCTCTTTCCCTTTCTCTTTCCTCTCCCCCCTCCCCTCCTCCTCTTCCCTCCCCTTTTCTCTCTCTCTCTCTCTCTCTCTCTCTCTCTCTCTCTCTCTCTCTCTCTCTCTCTCTCTCTCTCTCTCTCTCTCATCCCCTGGTGATTCCACTTTGCAGTGAAGTTTGGAACCCGCTAAGGCTAGAAGTGTTAGTAGCTGGGTCTCCTGAGAAGATTCAAGTTCATGGCAAGGGCAGAAGTGGGCCGCATTGGGGGCCTGTTGGACCCAGTTTCAGGATAGTAATGCCTTATGAGTCGTAAGTAGGTAGTAAGTAGTAGCAGGAATCATGTGAATACGATGCTTCTATTTAAGAGATCATGGAGACTCCAGAAAGAGTTTGTCAGCTTAACATAGTCAGGTCCTCTGTCAGTGTATGGGTTTCCTTCCCACCAGTGGCTTCCGGGGAGCTGAATTGTTTAGGACTCTCTCTGCAATTGGCCTTTCAAAAGGTGCTCTCATTCTTGTGGGGGCACCTCCTCACCCCCAGCATCACAACTACAGCCAGTGTTTTCTGAATCTCCTCACAGCTTTCTTTTCGTTCCTGCCCACAGCATTCTAAGTCTACTGCCCGCTCCAAACCCTCCTGAACATCAACACCAGGTTAGCATTCACCCTAAAACAAAGCTGCCCTCACATCCCTATGCAGAGACCATGAGTCGCAGCTGTCCACCGCAGAATAAAGTGCCTGCGCTTTACTGAAACCTTCTAGCCTTTCACCCAGAACTCCAAAAATGATCACCTTAACCCCATGGTTGGCAAACTGAGCTTGCGAGCCACATGCAGCTCTTTGGCCCCTTGAGTGTGGCTCTTCCACAAAATACCACGGCCTGTGAGACTATTTTGAAGAAGTGGTGTTAGAAGAAGTTTAAGTTCTTCTAAAAAATGTGGCTCTCAAAAGAAATTTCAATCGTTGAACTGTTGATATTTGGCTCTGTTGTCTGAGTTCGCAGACCACTGCCTTAACCTAATCATGGGGAAACATCAGACAAACACAATTAAAGGATATTGTACAAAATAACTGGATTGTTACCTTTTGAGGTGTCGAGGTCATGAAAGCCACTGAAAGACTGCGAAACTGTTCCAGACAGAAGGAGACTAAAGAAATGTGACAGGAAAATGCTGCATATGCCCTGGATATTTTTGCTATAAAATTCATTATTGGGCCCATCTGGCATGGCTCAGTGGTTGACCATTGGCCTATTAACAAGGAGGTCACAGTCAGGGCATATGCCTGGGTTGTGGGCTCAATCCCCAGTGTTGGGTGTGCCAGAGGCAGCCAGTCAATGATTGTCTCTCATCATTAATGTTTCTATCTTTCTCCCTCTTTCTTCCTCTTTGAAATCAATAAAAAAATATATATTAGAAAATTCATTATTGGTTCAACTGAATTAACTTAAATGGATCTGAGGAGTAGGTGGCAGTGATGTATCAAGGTTCATTTCCTGATTTTGATTGTTGTCCTCTGCTTATACAAGAGAATGTTCTTATTAATAGGAAATACATACTGAAGTATTAGAGGATAATGAGATAGGAGATAAGCAATTACTATCAAATGGTTCCAAGAAACAGTTATTTGTATTGTACTCCAACTTTTCTATAAGTTTGTGATTGTTTCAAGATGAAAAATACTTTTAAAAACATAATTGTTATCTGAATGACTGGTGTTTCAGAAGCCTCATAAACTTTTTCCCCATAAAAGAAACAATCATCTTTTATCCTGCTAAGAATGAACTTTAAATAGTGACATGGGTGGGTTTTATTTAAAACACTGAATGACCAAAAGATACAAGCTCTTTAAATTAGATTGTATTTTCCTCCTCTACTGCAAAGTTACAGTTACTGAACTTATTAACCTTAAGCTCTGAAGTAAATTCTCCAACATTGACTGAAAATAAAAGGAGAAACATGATGGGAAAATTACATTTTCAACTGTTAAGTAACTATCTTTTTACCTTCACAGGAACCTTCCATTAACTGGCCTTAGAGGGAGAAAATTACTAAAACATTTTCCCCCCAAGCTATCACATGACTTTAGTTCATAGGAAAATCGATGGCAAGGAATAAATAGTATCTATTGCATAAATACTTTCATTAAAAATGCACACATGGACTTCATGAAATTCTTTGTGGATTTTATGAAGGGTACCTAAGCCATTTAAAAAAGAAAGCTAAAACAGATGTAGGGGGCAGGTTTTTAATGTCCAGTCGCCATGTGTTCTGCACATAGATGATTTTTTCCCCCCTTTCAGATTTCTAAACACAGTGGAAGCCATGAGAGAGAATATCTGAAGCAATTCATTAAAATCTTGGCAGCTGGGCCCTCAGCTCCCGCTCTCCCTGAGAGCTGCCTATACTAAATGCTGACAGCTCCCCCAGCATCTCCCTCCACAGAAGACCTATTGTCACCGCTCGGACTGCCTCAGCCAATCTAGGGCTTTGAATAAACAAAAACCATGCAAATAAATTACCATCTCGGAAGCCCTGGGTTAGTGGGCTCTTCCGAACGCTCTCAGGAAAACACATTAGGTTAAAATGAAATATTTTGTTGTAGGATGTCATGTCCCAGTCCATGGGATTCTGGTGTCCCTCTGGCAAAGATCACTTGTGGGAGGAAGGGAAACGATAGGCTGTCCTTCAGCTATTGAATCAGGGAACGCTCTTTTCTTAGAGAAGATTGTACATTGAAAATGTGTTGGAGGTGATTTAAAATGAGAGGTATCATTCCTTGCTAAGAACATTGCCTTTCCTGCCTTTTTCACCTGTTTTGGTTCTAATTTTTATTTTTTTTTCCAGCTGCTTTCCCTCCCCGTTGGCTTTGGTAATTATGGCTGGGAATTTCCTGGGGCCAGTGTTCCATGGTGGCCTGCCCACCCGTTTCCCCCCACCTCCCAGTTTCCTCCCAGTGGCCCCTACCTCTTTGGTGTCTTTGTTCTCACATAAAATAGTCCCCTGCAAGCATTGATCAAAGTTCTATGAATACACACTGACTCATTAGCTACTTAAAATGTTCTTCTTCGTTAAGTGGCTTCTTTTTAAATTTCGGTGGTGAAAAAAAAAATAATAAAATAAATAAATAAATTTCAGTGCTGGTTGTTTATTTATTTTTTTTATCTTACCGTGTGAATCACAATATACAAAGGGAACACGATTTGACCTGAGGGATTAAAAAATATATCCATATAATAGAAAATGTTATTGAAAAAGATTTTACTGTGCCAAAAAAAAAAAAGCAAGCCTCTGAACCTTTCTCTGTGTACATTCTAATAATATAGACTAATTTAGAAAAATAGAAACCAGCCCAGCACATTCAAAACAGGATTTAAGAGCACTTACAGAATATTTATGGGGATATAAAATACATAATAGCGAATATAATAAATAATATTGTAATAACTATGTATGGTGCCAGGTGGGTACTAGACTCATGGGGTAGGAGAGGGGAAAGGTCACTTTGTAAGTTATATAAATGTCTAACCACTCTGCTGTCCACTTGAAACTAATATTGAATGACAACTGTAACTAAAAAAAATGTTTTAAAACAAAAGAGGATATGCCCGGTCGGTGTGACTCAGTGGTTGATCATCAACCCATGAACCAGTTCGATTCTGGATCAGGGCACATGCCCAGGTTGTGGGTTCAATCCCCAGTTGGGGACATGCAGGAGGCAGCTAATTAGTGATTCTCTCTCATCATTGATGTTTCTAAGCTCTCTCTCCCTCTCCCTTCCTCTCTAAAACCAATAAATACACACACACACACACACACACACATATATATATGTATATATTTTTTAAAAGATATAAGCAGTTAATCATCAAAATGGCTATACATCAGTCCTCTTAAAACCTATTGTTTTCTAGAAATAATTTAAATTGTGGGAGTTCTGAGATTTGTAGGTGATTTTTAAAAATTATTATTGAGGGTTCCATGAGTGTTCTCCCACATGTTCATTTAATTTTGGAAGTATTTAATTTACACTTTCTTCATTCTCAAAAATACAAATCTTTTCCAAATTTTGAGCTTACCACCTCCATCCCAGAATTTTTCTTTAAAAAGATGACCTGGCCCTAACTGGTTTGGGACTCAAGCGGCCTGCGGACTCAAGGGTCCCAGGTTTAATTCCAGTTAAGGGCATGCACCTTGGTTGCAGGTACATAACCAGTAGGGAGGGTGCAGGAGGCAGCTAATTGATGTTTCTCTCTTATCGATGTTTCTAGCTCTTTATCCCTCTCCCTTCCTCTCTGTAATAAATAAATAAATAAATAAAAATGTACTAAGAAAAAAAAGATGACCTGTATCTATGTCATTTTAGTCAAGACTGGTCTCAGGTCTGCTGAAAGAGGAACTATGGAGACAAATTAGAGCCAGTGGGGAAGAGATCTCTCTCCTGCATGGATGGAATCAGAATACTATCAGAATACTTAATAGTAATGTCAGCCTGAATCCTGTAATGTGTCACCTTTCCCTACAAGGCCTCCAGCTTTCCAAACGCCCATCTAATCTGTGTCCACTCCTGGGACTAGATAGTACAGTTCTCTGCCTGGGTGCTCATTGATAATATCAAAACCTCATCGCTT